CCAGATGCCTCTCTGGGAGATCTTTTTCCCTCTGCAATACAAAGAAGCCAGAGAAGACACCTTCCCAGGTTTCCTGCTGCCCCTACTACAATATTCTATAGAGGTGGGTCAGATAAAGTTCTTGGCAAGAAGAGCTACTTTGGAGACATATGCATTCAAGAGTTCCTGATATTCAAGTACAGAACCATTTTTCTCCTTTAATCTTTCCAGCAATCTTAGGGGGAGTTATTCATGGGGATGTTTTCTTTTTCTCAGTCCAGGGCTTTGGTCACACAGCCTCCTCTGCACTAAGCTATACCCCCTGCCCTTTTTTATTTGTTGAGACATGATCTTGTCAGTTTGCTCAGTTACCCAGGCTGGTCTTGAACCCATGGTCCTCCTGTCTCAGCCTCCTAGGAGCTGGGATTGCAGGCATGCACCACCATTCCCAGCTCTCATCGAGGAGCTTCCTTTGGACAGGACTTGGAGGGGCTGTTATTCATGGCACCAGCACCAAGCCACATTCGAGCACAGGGCCTCTCTGACTCGCGGCCTGTTGTCCTTTCGGCCACTTGGCTGCTCCTCTCTTGGCAACACCCTGGGACACTGCCTGCCCAGACAGCCCAGCACACTTGTCCCTGTGGGGAGGCGAGGGATGCCACCCTGAAAATGAGTCCAGAATGTGTAGGAAGAAAGTCTTGCATGCATGTGGTCTTTGGTGCGTTTTGTTCAGTATTCAACCGTCTCTGCGTCACCTTAAGTCTGGTGGCTCTCCTTTGGGAGAGCCTTTGGTCTTCCCTGGGCTTTGAAGAGTGATTTGGGACATCCTCCTGGTCCCTGGAGTCACAAGTGTGGGCCCTCTTGGGCCCTTTTCCCTGTAAGTCCACTTCCCAGGGAGCCAGGTCCTCGAGGAGCATCCTTTCTCTACAGCAAGGCCGCCGACCTTGGTGACTGAGTGCAGCCAGCCCTGAAATTGTGGCATTTGGGGCTAAAGGAATGTGCCTGGCTCCCAGCCTCTTGTTTTCCCATTCTGCTGGAAGGTCGCGTTCATTTGAGCTTTTAAACCAAAAATAAATCATTGTAATCCGTTTGCTAATTATACCACGTGAAGTTCTAGACGTTGCAAATTGCAGCATGATCCAGCTAGATGAAGTTTTGGGGTGTTTATTTTTAGCAATTCAGAAAGCACGTGCTTGCCTCGATGCTTCATTTGCAAATCTAGAAGGGGACAGGAAAATGCCTCTGCATAGCTCACCTTGTCCTGAGACTGCACTTAGTGCCCCCTCTCCACCCCCCGTCCTCATCTGGAAAAGGGGTGGTTGCCATAGCTCATCTTGACGGACTTACCTATCTGCAAACCTCTCAACTCTGGAAAGTGTCTGAACTGGAGCTGTTGGTGACTACTGCATCCAGGGAAGTGCCGAAAGCCACCGTAGCATTGTGTCTTGGAGCCACGGAACACAGGCCTTGGAGACCTCTGAAGTCTGGGACACATGTGGTCCTCTTTTCTTATCCTCATTTTTCCAGAGAGGGGAGAGAGTGACAGAATTATTTATTATGTACTTGGTACAGGGTCTCACTGTGCAGCTCGGGCTCATAGTGATCCGCCTGTTTCAGTCTCCCCGGTGCTGGGATTACAGGCATGGGCCATCACGCCTGGTCTTGGTGGCTGGCTCTGTGCACGGGGGGTGGGGGGGGCTGGCATGGCACGCAGTACCTGGGATTGAACCTAGGTCTTTGTGCTTGCCTAGGCAGGTGCCTAGTCTTCTGAGCTATCGCCACAGCCTGCATTTTATATTTAAGCACTTGCTCTTTGTATAATACACTGCTTGGTGCTTGCATTTGAATGATTGTTAGACAGTCACCCCAATTCAAAGACAGTGTTGAGGGCTGGAGAGATGGCTGAGTAGAATAAGCACTTCCCTGGCAAGTGCAGGGGCCTGAGTTCAATCCCCGGTTCCCAAAAAAATAAAAAATAAAAGTGTTACCCAGTTATTCCCTGGCATTTGTGTGCCAGGCACTGGGCTTATTTCTGAAAAAACTGAAGGTGAATTGGATACAATTCCTATCCCCAAGGAAACCCGTGGCTGGTAAAGCCTGAAGTGAATTTGTCAGAGCACTTTCCAACTACAGCACTAGCCATGAACAATGAAATACCAAATGCCGTCAGAGCTAGCTCAGGTACTGTGGTTTGGGATAGGACCTGGGTTCAGTTTGTGCCTGCTGTGGGTGGGGGATGGGAATATTTCAAGAATAAAGAGGTGTTTGGGCCAGTCTGAATGTACAAATAGGATTTTAAAATGAGATTATGTAAGAGAAAGGGGACAGACCTGATTCGGTAACCTTGGAAGCTGTCCTGCGGGAGCACAGGACGATTGTCCTTGACTAAGTGACAGTCTCAGGTGCCAGGCAGAGCACAGCCCTTCCCAGGCCTACCTTCTGGCAAGCTTCCTTCAATTTTGGCCATAGTGTGGTGTATTCTTTTCAAAGGTTAAGCATAAAAAAGCCTTAGGACCAATTCCTTCGTGTTAATGTTTCTGTACGTAGATTTCTGGAGTGACAACCTTTCACCATATTCATATCATCCTTGTGTGAGTCGTGTGTGTGGTCAGATGCAGGACTGGGTGGCTTGGACTTCTAGGACAGCTTCCACAGCAAGAAGGCAGAAACATTCTGATGGCTTCACTTTGGAAGGGCTCTGTGGCAGGAGTGACACTGGAGCAGAGCCTTACACTCTAAGCAGAGTTTCGTCCCCACAACACATAAAGGCTTCCATTCAGAGAGGAGGAAGATGGTTCATGGGAAGCACAGGGGCGTGGGATCCTGGCGGGCATGGCAGCCGGGCAAGGAAGGCAGCATGGGGGTGGTGGCTGAGCCACACCACAGTCCTTGAAGTCATGGGTGCAGTTTGAGTCTCAGTTCTGCCACATGGTGGCCGGGCACGTTTTCCAAGCTTCTATTTTCTCATCTGTAAAATAGGACTATTAATAATACACAGCCAGCTGATCATTGTACGGACAGCTAGATCGATGCCTAGCACAGTAGCTGATATGTACCTAGTGTGCACTTAATACATGATAGTTTGGGGTTATTCTATTAAAATAAGTCTCAACTATGAAAACATCAGTTCAAACCACAGAACTTACAGATGAAGCAGAGGAGTCCTTTGGAGGCAGGAGAGAAGGGTCAGGGAAGCCTTGGCCATGTGGGTGCTGAGACAGGAGGGGCTCTACTGGCTGATGAGCCAGAGAGGTGACCACAGACTGAGAACTTGAGGTGACAGCATCATGGTGATCTCAATCCGGGGACTTGTGGAGATGTGGGAGTACAAGAGGTGCTGATTTATGCAACTCAAAAAACTCAGGGACAAAACAGCTTGGGCTGGGATGGGGACACAATCATGAGAAAGGCCATTTGTGGATGAAGACTGGAAATTCAGCGCGGTTTCCCTCTGCTTTGCTAAGCCAGTGCCCCAGTTGGTAGGCAGAATTGCTGTTTTCCCCTTCAAGGCTGACACTCATGTACCTACCACCCAACGCCAACCCCCAGCTCCTGGCAGGAACCACACTGTCTGCACCTACCTCCTCTAGTTGTGGTTTTTACATGGTAGGGCTTCAACAGTCTCGTAATAAAGCAGGCGAAAGTGAAGGAACCTTGAAAGTGGGTCTAGAGGACAATCAGGGCTTCTCTGAGTAGGACAGGGGCTGTGGGGAAGAAGGGGTCGGGAAGAATCCCAGAGTGCTGGAATCAAGAGCGCAGTGAATAACTGTACCACCTGGGCAGTGGCACTCGAGGATGGGTCCTTGTCCCACTGGCCACCACACGTGTCCTTTAGGACAGATTTGTTGAGACCAACTGACAGATAATACTGGAAACTTCCAAATGCTTTATGAATGTGGGGTATTGTTATTAATATTTTATAAGTAACAAATAGTGTGTCATGACCTCGCCTTGTACACGCCCTGCCTGTCACCCTGACCTCTGTCGATGGCTGCAGCTCTGCTTGGCAGCTGGGAACTGATTCGCATTGCTCACACAACCCTGTAAACGAGGAGAGGGAGAGGCAGGGGATTGGAGACGCGCTCCCCCTAAATTCCACACAGCCAGCGAGTGCACAGCCTCCCCAAACACGTGGAGCAGCAGCTGTATACCTCTTAGCCAAAAAGTACGTCCAGTAAATGTCAGGGAATCAGAGTCCCATCGTCTGCACTCTCCTACCCTAGGTAACTAGGCTAGGAATCAAAAACAGGAAGACGAGGGTTTAAAACATATGTATATATACATGCATATATATGTATGTATGTATGTATATATAAAGGTATTTACAAAAATATTAACTCATGAGTCAGAATAGATAATAGGCATTATAAAATGCTAATGAAAGAAAAATATTAAATGTCAAAAGTCATGGAATAAAGCCAAGAGAATACCTAGAGGGAGATTTATGACATCTGTGATGATATTATAAAAAGAGAAGCGCTCACAACTTATGAGGATCCAGCTTAGGATGACAGTGAACATAGGTCAGCCAGCCAAAGCCATGCAGCTCGGGTAGCAGAGCGGGGCTGCTGCACAGATGCAGCCGGCTCCAGAGCCTTGCTCGGGGCCCTACACCATGTGTCGCCACCTGCCAGTGTCCATAATGTGCCCAGGACCTGGAAATTCTGTTCTTCCAAATATCACGGAGATGAGCCTCTGAGGTAACTCCTGACATCCAGGTCAAGGAGAGATCCTGCGTCCATTCATCCATCCTTTCACCTGCCTTTCACTGACTGCAGAGTGCCTTGGCTGTGTGCCAGGCATGTGCTGCTCGCCGCCCTCCCTGCCTCTTGCCTTCGATGTTCAAGGACCAGCCTTCAGCCAGGGCCAGGCGCACACTGCCCTGTACTGCCACCTCCCCGCCTGGCCTGGCCCGGCCCAGCCCGGCCAGCCTGGGCCCGAGCTGGCCGTGCTTCTTTGCCGCTTGTCAGAACAGCACCCTCATCAAAAATGACTGATTTCTCTCTTGTCTTTTCCAACAGGTAGACTGAAATTACCATGTGTCCAAATTAAAATTGCATACTTCAAGGATTATCTGAAGGACTATTCTTAGATCCTTTTAAGAAGATTTAAAGAAAAGTGAGTCAATTTTTTTTTTTTTACACTTCAGAGCGTATTCATGATTTAAGTTAATGTTATGGGTGCTTTTTTCTCTACTTCTTAAATATGCACTAATAGGTAGACTTTATCTCCATTTATTTTATAATAAAGAATTTTTTCCCAAAGAACAATGAACAAGGAGTACAGGATTACTGCACTAATGATTTTCATATATTTCAAAGGCTTGTGGAATCTCCAAGATAAAAGGGTCTTACAGGCAGGGGCCATTCCCTGCTGGACACGGCCGAGCTAGAGCAGCATCCTCCAGATCCCTGGCTGGGCTTGGAAGCCTCCAGAGACTGGTGGGAAAGCTTAAGACCTTTAGTGCTTTCCCACTGTCTGGTTTGAAAGCCTTTCCTTCTTGCATCTTGCCCACCCTCTTCTCTACTGAACAATCTAAAGATGGCCATCCTTCCCGGAGTTCTTATTTTTTTGTTCATCTCGTAACTTCTCATCTGTTGGTTTCAAGAGCAGCTCCTGCCCTGCTCAACTTCTTTCCAGCCTCGCTAATGTCTTATTAAAATAAGTGCCAGCCGGGATCCCAGCCAGAGCACGGCCGGTGTGTTTTGCCCTGGTAGGATAAGTCCACAGGGCAAGACTTCCAGTTCTCCAGTCCCAGCTCTGTTCCTGGTCTGCATCCAGAAAAGTCACTGTGTTATTCTGAGCTCAGAGAAGGCCAGGAAGGCAGGAGGCAATAGTCATAAAACGCCCTTCACCTCCCCAAGGCCAGTTTGTTAGCTTAGAGTGAAGAGTTGCTGCTTATCACTATCTGGGAAACTGGAATGAGCCTGGCCTTGGTGGTGGGGTCCGTGGGACCCAGGTCCAATTCTAGTCCTATCACTTGCTTATTGTGTGGCTATACCTGTCATTTCTCGTCTCAGTCCGTCTGTTTTTTCACTTGGGAAATAAGGATGATAGATCATTGTGCCGAGGATTTGTGGGGGCTATACCTAGAGCGCCTGGTGCCTGGTACTAGGGAGTGCTCTACAGATGGCAGTCCCTGGTGAGGTTACAAATGTAGCAATGAAAGGACTTGAGTGTAGCTAGAACTGAGGGCAGGAAGTGGTAGAAACTCCAGTAAGGAGACAAGATGGGAGCTGCTGCTTCTGGATGTGAGGGAGATGTTCACATCTCATAAACTGTCGTACAAACACCTAACCCCAGAAAGTACATGAAATTAAAGTGTTGTTTCTCAGAATGTGACAAGGAGGGACTGGTTGCTATGGAAACATACAGTTACAAGGGAAACTGTGCACACGTGTCTATGTAGCTGCACAAATTCTCCCACCCCCTGGTAGCTGCCACAGCTCCGGGCCTGGGCATCAAGGGCTTCATTTCCTGGGACGAGGCCCCAGACCCGCAGCTTGGGGGCCTTGTGTGTTGTCAAAGTTTGTCTGTACTCAGAAGGCTGAATGAGCATCGGATGAAAGATTACACGTGGATGAGGTTTGTAAACTGCGAAATACTCCACTCCTCGACATGGCTTTGTGCTGTGGATAGCTTAATACTTTGGAAATAAAGCCAAATGTAGAACTCGGGCAAGCTGAGCGTGTGCTGAGCCAGTGCAGTACAGCTCTCGGGTTTCTGAATGAAGCAGCAGTGTGCGTATGTGTGTGCCCGTGTCTGTGTGAGCACATGTATGTCCACGTGCAGCAAAACCCGTGGCCGTTTGGATGAGGCCACTGCACATGACGCCTGGCTGCCTCCGAGGAGTGCAGCACAGGAATGAAGGCGAGTTGTGGAATCAGCCAGCCCGGCCCCGTGACAAGCTCTGGCCTCAGAATAGCTGTGTGACCTTGGCCTGTTGGACAAGCGTGGCGCAGTGCTTGTCTTCTTGACTCTTCAGGTCAGTGGAGAAGGCTGCTCTGAGGAGCTGGGAGGATATGGCCTGGAGTCTTCCCACACCACTAAGAAAGCACCGGGTCTGAGCGCCCAGCACATTGCCCAAGCTCCATGGCTTCCTCGGCATTTAGGCTATGTTGTCTTAACTTGCTGAATAAAAGCAACCCTGGAGGAATCTCAGCTGCCCCAGGCCCTTCCCGGATGGATGGAGCCCTGTGGACGAACACTCCATAGTCTGCTAAGGGGCTCATTCCAGCAGTGTCCTAGCCCCGGGCCAGCCTTCCAGTGCCCTCCCCTAATCAGGGTGGATGGATGGGCAAATCGTAAACTCGGGAGAACTGAAAACCGCTGTCATCGATGGTAGGGAACACACTTTCTGATTAAATATAGCTGGTCATCTGGCTGTCTGTGCAACCATCTTTGGCCAGGGGTACAGAGGTGCTGCCCCTGCCTGACCTTGCTGTGATTCTCTTTCAGGAGAATACAGATGGAGGCAAAACTGCACAATTGTGTCTTTCAGTGTTTTCCAAAGTGTAGGATATAGTCCATTACCCGGTCATGAAATTAATTTGGTGGTTTCAGATCATTTATTAACATGAAACAGCAGAACCCAGTAACCCATGGAGTGGATGAAGATCATGTATATTGGATAGGAAGAAGAAATTCCTAGAGTCAGCAAGGAAATGACAGGCAACTTCTGTATTAGTTACTCTTCTCTCGTTACTGGGACAAATACCTGACACTCAAAATGAGGGAAGGAAAGGTTTAGCTCACGGTTACTGGAGGTTTCAAGATACTGGAGGAGAGGCGGCGGCACTGCCATGTCCAGGATGACCCCCCCACATGTTTCAGAAAGCTCACGCTAGCCAGTTCAGTGGTTCTTGCTTCTCTGGCCCCGCCCTTCAAGCCACTTGTTGCTCCTCCCTGTGTCTGCTCCGTAACTTACACGAGGCTCTGGGGGGACAACTAGGCACAAACCATAATAACTTAATAGAGAAATGAGCAAAAGACTCCAACAGATATTTCATAAAAGAGGATGTCCAGGTACTCGGTAAGCATACAAAAGCATTACTACTCTTCAGAGACACCCTAATTAGAAGCACAGTGAAGCGTCACATGCGGCCATTAGAATGGCCACAATGATGAGGAGACTGTACCTAGTGTTGGCAAAGATGTGAAGCCACCAGAACTCACATACTCTGCTTGGGCAATGGAATTTGTTGCGATGACTTAGGAGGACCGTGTGACAGGATCAGCTCTAGCTAATGTACACGCCCCGAAGCTTCCACTCCCTCGTGTGCACCAGGGAGACTTGCACACAGTGTGCATGAGACTGCAGGGCCACCAGCAAAGACACCCGTGAGCGCAGCACCACATGTTCACAGTGGACTAGTGACGGCCTCACCAACGTAAAATTCAAAGAAAATCCAGGCACAGTGAAGCCTTATGGCTTCTTTGCATAAAGCACAGAAGTCCACAGGACAGATCTACACTGTGAAAAAGTCGAGGCAGGTTACCCTCAGAGAAGGGCTTGGTGCGTTGGGAGGAGCTCTAAGTTCCTTCAGTGTTCTGAGTGTGGCTCTGTCTCTGGACCTGGGGACTGGTTATATGGGTATTCACAGCTGTGAAGACATGTCAAGCTGTTAAGTAGTCGGACCCACAACTGTACCCTCACCATAGTTCAACAAAAATGCATAAATTAACAGAACAGAGAATAAAATTCAGCAGTGGGTGGAGGTCGCCAGCGGCAGATGGAAGGCAGTTGCATGTCTGTGCTAGCGTGTGCTGTGTTATGCCGTCGTGCACACCCCCGAGTGTGAGTCACAGAGAGTACAGGAGTGCTTCTGATGGATCCTGTGCCTCCCCCTCCAGTGAGGCGTCTGAGACCCAGAGGTGAGGGGCTTCAGAGCAGATCAGAAAGGTGCACAGAGGTAGGAAAAAGCTAGCGGCCTCCTGCTCCCTTGGAGCCTTGGAATGTCACTGTCGGTGTGGATGGCTGGATGGGGACGCCTAGGCTGGCCCCTTGGGCCCCAGGACGCAGCCCTGCATGGGGAACAGTTGTTTCTCCCCCCATCTAGGGCACAGGCCCGGCTACCTCTGGCGGCCTGACTCCCACTCCCAGACTCCCTCCCTCTTCCTTTGTGCCTGTCCTGTGGAAATCCGCTTCCCTCCAAGTTCCAGAAAGCTCCGCCATGTTCGGTTGTTTTTCTACTTATGGAAAATGACTGAGGGGCCAAAGCTGTGTGATGGTGAGGGAGGTAGGAAAGCTGAGGAGGACACCCAGATCCGACAGAGCCGTGTGTCCTCGCTGGCTTTGCGCTGTCACTTCATTACAGAGCTGTGAGTCCGCCCAACAGTACACTTCTGTGGGGTCAGGAGGCTGCCAGGTTCTGAGAACACAAAATATTGCCAAGGCAAGACAGAGCCCTGTTGGTCAGGCTGAGCTTTCCCAGTGAGGGAAATGTGTAGCTTTTAAAGGACCCAAACTCAGCTGGGCCTCAACAGGGCCTGAAGCTGCCTTGAGTAGGACAGCACATGCCATGAATGGCTTGCCTCGAATGGCTTGCCTCAAATGGCTTGCCTCGAATGGCTTGCCACCAATGGCTTGCCAAGCCTTTGGACTCCGACCCATAGAACAGGATACATGGGATCTGTTGATTTAGAACATGTTCCAAACCCAGTAACACAGAAGGGAGCTTTGAGGTAGAGCAGCCCAGGCCTCCAGGAGAGAAGTTCTAGCCCAGCCTGGGCTCAGCAAGCTGGGAGGCCTCAGACAAGGTGTCAGAGAAGCCAGAAGGCTTGAGGTAAGCCTCAACAAAGGGGGAACCACACAGCCAGGCTGCTGAGGATGCGGTAAGCTCCGGAAACTGCGCCGAGGGAGTGCATGGTGGAGGCAAAGGCTGAGGAAAGGACTCCTACTTGAGGGCCTCTGGGTTCTAACAAGGTGTATCGAGGCAGAAGAGACCCTCGCCTGAGACTTGTGGAGGCAGGAAATGCTTGTCACCTAAGAGATGGAGTTAAGGGACGCAGGTGGACACTACTGTGAATGTTGGTGCAGCCCTAGAATTTTGTTTTATGGCTCTCATGCCATCTTTGAGGAAAACTTCAGAGGCCTGTTCTAATCTAGGTCTGGTAAA